GGGGGGGGGGTGTCTCTGCCCGCCACAGACCCCTATGAAGTGTCATTGGCTGTTCCTTTTCTTCCTCGCAACTCCTCCCCTTCACCACCCGTGAATAAAGCCACAAGCCTGTTTCCCCAGGTCCCTTCGAGCAGATCCCCACCCTGTGTCGCTCCCTGAGCGTAATGCATGACGTCAGTATTACTTGGCTGGAGTCTGAGACCAGCCCTACTGAGCAGTGAGGGACCGATGCTGCCACTCCCTGCCTCCCTGGGTGGGCCTCTGTATGTACATGTGCTCGTATGTGTAAGTGCACGAGCACCTGCAAGGACGTGGACACACTCGTGAGAGTCTGCGGGACCATGTTGACACTGCAGCACCTGCTTGGCCACGGGCCCTGTGCTGGGCTCTTAGGACAAAAATGAGTAAACGCAGCTCCAGCTTTCAAGGCAAGGTCCCCACAGTCTACTGGGAAAGCTGGACAGTGAGCGAATCTTCCCTGCAGCGGAACCAGTGCTCTGGAAGGGGAAGGACAAGGCTCAGACGCTCTCAGCACAGCTTGGGGGGAGAGGGGAGGAAGATGGGTCCCCAGGTTTCGGCTCCCAGGCTGGAGGATGGTGGAGCCAACCAGGGCAAGAAGATGAATTCCTTTTGGGGATCATTCAGACTGACTGCCATGGCTGTGGGACATCAGGTGATGTCCAAGTGAGAGCCAGGTGTGTAGATCTGGAACTTGAAGGAAGTCTGTGTTGGGGGTAATGTTGGGAGGGGGACAGTTATAGGAGTCAATAAACAAGAGGTGCTCAAGGTCCAGCAAGTAGATGAGGTGCTTGGGATTATGGAGAGCACAGGGAACGGGTGAACAAGGGAGCCCTCCCACGCCACCATCCAACTGGTGATTGAAGGAGGGACACTGAGCAGGGATGACCAGAGTAGCAGGAGAAAATCCAGAAGATGGCATCACTGAAGCTAAGGAAAGAGTCTCCAAAAGCAGGACTGTTCGGTGGTGTAAGTACCACCGGGAGACCTGTGGACTAGTTGGTCTCATATCAGCACCTTTCTACAGGTGCCTCCCTGAGTGCTGGTAGCCCTGTTGTGTGTACTCGTATGCATGGGGTGCCCACCTCCGAAGGCTCAGCTGGCGAGAGGTTTCCTGGCTTGGCACCTCTGGAGTGGGGCCGACCATGAGGATGCAAAGACCGGTGAGGATCATGCAAGTGGGCATGGCACCGATGAGAACCTTGAGGGTCACCACCACCTGCTCTGCCTGCTTGCAGGCTCCTGCCTTGTATCCCGCAAACCTGGAGAAACAGTCCCATGCATCCAGCTCAGACCCTCCTGAGCCTGATCCCTAGGGGAGGAGTTCCAGATCCCCCACCTCCACACCATCCTGAAACTTGGATTCGTTTCTTGGCCAGATCAGCCTAACCATGGTGGGAGGGAGTGTTGAGGGAATAGGCCGGTCAGGGAGGAGTTCAGAGACAACTGAGAATGTGGGGAGCTGAGGCTTCAGAAGGAGTATAGGCCCCAAGAAAGGCCCCTTTTCAGTCCCATTCACAGAGAAAGCTGGGGCAGGCGATTCCCCCCCACTCTCGAAAGAGCAAAGCTTTGTCCCCTGGCTGGCTGGGGAGGAGGGCTCTGCCCTTGTCCCACCCAGCTGGCATTTTGTGCCTCTGCCACAGCCCGACTCTGTGACTCACTCGAGACTGAGCGTGGAGATGCCCAGGGCGCCTGCGCCTGAAAGCTTGGTGAAGAAGACATAGGATGAGTAGAAGATGGTCTCCATGCCTGGGCCGTGTGGGTGCTGCAGCTGGAAGTCATCTATCACGTCTGGGAGCATGGACCTAGGCAGGGGGCTGCAGAGTTAGTACTTTATCCCCTGACAGCCACCAGCCTGCAAGCTCTCTGGGGACAGAGACCAAGTCAGACTCATCCCTGAGTCCTCACTGCCCAGGACCAGGACTGGCCCACAGAGAGCCAGGCAACTTGTCTGCTTTCTGCTTGTATCCCCACCCCCCATCTCGACATCCCCCGCCCCTAGCTGCCCACCATGCCTGCTGTTTGGTGGCTTTTAGGAGGACTCCCAGGATGGAGCTGGTGGCCTTCATCCCCTGCAAGTGGGAGAGCAGCTCCCTAGTGCAGGCTGGGCACAGGCCTGGGCCAACAGGCTGACATGAAGGAAGGCAGACACACGAGAAAGGACACGAAGCGCCCACATTCCCGCCCCCTCACCCAGCCTACCAGGGCAGCAGCAAGGACACAGCAGTGCTCACACCAGATACAAAGGCCACGACGTATGCCACAGGTGCTGTGGGCACAACAGCCAACAGGATTGCAAAGGGCACCATCACCTGGGGAGACAGACACACTGGCTGTTCCTTCCGTCTGCTCCGCCCCCTTGCCCTTTCCAGCACACACTAACCGGTCTTCACTAACCACCTGGTGCCTGGGCCTGCCCTGGGCACTGAAGACATGATTATAGATCCACCAGCTGGCCCCCAGGAGGCTCAGGCTCCAAGGTCAACCTCCCCGACCCAGCTCCAAGCCTCCAAGCCTTGCTTCCTGCCTCACTCACACAGATCCCGAAGGCTGACATCTTCTTCCCAAATCGCTGCAGAACCCACTCCCACAGCGGGGTGCTCAGCACAGCGGAGACCTGTGAGCAGACAGGACCGTCACAGCCTGCCAGCTGCCAGCACCTCTGCCCAGGTTCTCAAAGTCCTGGCTTTCAGGTGGGATGCCCGGCCTCGACTGGAACCAGTGGCTATGAACTTTGACCCTAGCCCCAATTCCACCCTCCCTTGGAAGGCAGGTGACTGAGACCACAGCTGAGTCCAGAATGTTGACCTCCAGAACTCTGGCCACACATGTCCCCAACTCAGGCTCCCGAGCAACCCCAGGTCCCCTCACCAGAACGGTTAGCACCAGGCTCTGGACGTGGCCATGTAGCCGGGAGGCATGTGTACAGAACAGGACCAGGTAGCTCTGCTCCACCTGAGGAGGGCGACAGGAAGTAGGTGTTTACAGGGACTGGCAGGACCTCAAGAGCCAGGTGCAAGGCCTAGGTCTCAGTCCTGGCCTCCCTTTTTGGACTTTGAACTCTGATTGCTGGCACCACTGTGCACTCTCCGCCCCTACAAAGGATGCTTCTCCCTGACCCTGGCATAAACACCATTCCTGGTCTACCCTCCCCCTGCACAGCTAAGATTGGGTGGACTTTACCACCCAGACACTTGTCCTGGTGTCTGGCCCTGACCTCAATGCCATGAGCTCTGTCTAGATCTCTCTCCTTCCAGCGGCTGCCTCTCTGGGCCACGTGCCAGCCACTGGTCTCTCCCTGTTAAAACTCAAGCCTAACTGTGATGCAGGGGGGATGAGACCGAACCTGAACCTACGCAAGCTCAGTATGGCTGGAATCAAGCCCGTGGGCGTCAGTCTGGCCAGGGTACCTGAACGGCTGCTGAGATGAACAGGAAGGAGACCACCAGCTTCAGGTAGGGTGGGTGCCGGACAGTGAGGCCCAGCCCCGCCAGGAAGCTCGTGTCCTGGCTGGACACTGGGGCAGAGGGGTCTGCAACACAGGAAGGCGACATCTCGACTTGGCACACCCAAGAGAAGCGCCGACCCCAGCTCTGCTTCCCACATTCTGCCTTCACCTCTGTACCTGGTCGCTCCTTCACCCCCAGGCAGAGCAAACCACTGCACACGGGATAAGTCACGGCAACCACGGCCGCTGCAATGGAGTAGAGACAGGTCTGTGGAACAGGACAGAGCTGGGGTGGGTGTGATGTCTCTAACCCATGGAGGCGAGGACACCAGGGGCTGCAGGAGTACCTCCCAAAGGGGGCAGAGGGCCCCTCAGCCCAAGTCCGAGAATGCTGGGCACTCCCCCCAATTAGCCCAGCAGGAGAGGGAGAGCTGAGGGCCCAGGATGGACCTTCTGCTGATCCTGTGCCTCCCGGATGCATCCATGCCACCAGGGAGGGGTCTGAGTTCTCCCCCCACCCCCACCCTTGGCTCCCTCCCTCTCTCATTTTTTATTTATTTATTAAAAAAATTTTTAATTATTTTTAAAATCCTCACCGGAGGATATTTTTTTCCATTTCTTTTTCAGGGACAGTGGAAGAGGGGGGAGAGAGAGAAGAGAGACACATCGACTGGTTGCCTCCTGCACGCTCCCCAACAGGGGTGGGGATCCAGCCTGCAACCGAGGTACCTGCCCTTGTTGGCATGGACCCTGGGACCCTTCAGTCCGAGGGCTGGCGCTCCCACCACTGAGCCGAACCAGCTCTCATTTTTTAAAACGAGCACTCACTGCGGCTGATTCTGACCCTGAGGGCGCAGCGGTGAGTAAGCGACCCCTGCGCATCCACAGCGAGGGGCTCAGAGTGGCAGGAAGGCAGACCCACGAGCACAAGGTACCGTGCGGTGCACAACGACCCAGAGAAATGTCAAAAACAGAGGCAGTGCCACCTATCATTCGGGCCAAATTACATATGTGGTAAAATACATACAAAAAAGGCGTGCACCGGAGCCACGGAACCCGACTCCAGTTAGAGGCTGCCCCGGGGCGGGGACGCAGCCGGGCGCGGGCAGGGCTTCACCCGGGCCCCTCCGAAGGACCCTGCGCCTGGGGGCTAACGCTCTGCTGTCTCCCTCCCGAACTTCTTGACGCTTTTCTCTATGAATTTGTGTTTTGTAGGTGAAGTTGATGGGCTAACAGCTGGAGCTGCCAGGAGGCCCTGAACGCTTTGTGCCGTTTGGGGGTGAGTTCTCCACCTTCTGGTAGCCGCTTCTTGGCGCCCCAGGCCCTGCCCAGCCCAGGCCGCGGCCACCCTGGTCCCACCCTC